TAAAAACGTCACTAAAAGGCGGAACTTGCACTTCCGATGAGAAACGGAATGGAGTACGAAGAAATTCTATACAAACCTCTTCTGTTCATACTATGGCAAAGTTCGTCATCTCCACTGGAGATGTAAACGATTCTATCTGCTAAAGTACGTGTCGCAATTTATAAAGGCAGCCACGGCTCCGGGGCCAAATTCCAACTCTTAGGAGCTTGAGGAGACGCCCACACGAGGTACTTCCAGCGCACCTGATACAATAGCTCAAAAGGAAAGCATTTCCGACTAGTGGCAAACCTTGCGAACGTCCTCCACAAGATGAGTGGAAAATCTTGAGAACACTGTTCAATGTGCCTGCTTAGCGTGTCTTACAACTAAGATTACTCTTAGTCGCATATCAAAAACACTGGATGAAACCCAACCTGAAGAACAAGCATGATTTTACAAGAAATTTAGCTGCGTTGAACACATCACGGCGGTTTCGCAAATTATCGTGATTTGCCGAAAGAATCGCCTACCTCTCGTCCTAATCTTCGTCGAGTATGGAAAAACGTTTAACAGTGTTGAGAATAGTGCCATGATGTCAGCGCTGGTCGACCAAGGGGTGGACCGTCTTACGTGAAGACGTTGGCCAACTGCTACATGAACTCCTTTACAACGGTTTGGCTACTCCATCGCCTCTAACATTTCAGTCGCAAATAGGGTGCGAAAAGGAGGCGTACCGCCAAAGCAATTTCTCACCGCCTTGCAGAGGATGATGAACTGGGTTGGAGAGAAAGAGGTCTGAGTTGACGGGTAGTTCCTTCGAGACTCCTGTATGAAAAAGGCATTGTTCTCCTTCGAGGAACATCACTGAAGCGGGGACGATGTGCTAAGAATTGAACGAAGAAAGAGGATAAAATGCGAATCAACCGAGAGGAAGTCATGGACGTCTTCTTGCGTATAACTCGGCATTCGATGAACATGGAGAACGATTTGAAAGAAGAACTAAACAGGAGGCAAAAAGCGGAGTTCTTTTAAGCCTCTAATTGAGGTCCTCAGACCAGCAAACGGACACAGAATTCCGAGCCCACCTCCTTCAACCGTCCTCCCAGCGCTACTTTACG